AATTATGTGTAAATTAAAGCTCATTAATTTAAAAGGTAAATGATTTATAGAAAGTAAATCGTAGTTGAACTTAAAGTCCTAAATATTAGGATTTCTTATATAGTTCAAATAAGGGAAAATTCATTAAATAAAGTTATAGNAATAAAAACAAATACACAAATAGCAATATTCTCAAAATTTAAAATTATGTGTAAATTAAAGCTCATTAATTTAAAAGGTAAATGATTTATAGAAAGTAAATCGTAGTTGAACTTAAAGTCCTAAATATTAGGATTTCTTATATAGTTCAAATAAGGGAAAATTCATTAAATAAAGTTATAGTTTTTTTTTCTAAATTCCTAAATATTAGTTAAATGACTGTTTTGTCTAATGTGAATTATATTTTTAAAGGGTAAAAAAGACGAACGATATTTCGCTAAGGACCTTCGTGCTTTTAATATAGCATAGATAGATATAAATTTATACTTTATTACTTATGCAGTAATTTAGGAAATATTTTATACTCCCACCGACCAATATTAGGTATCGTAGTTACTAAATATATTATACTCCAACATAATTGTCGTTTTAAAAAATCAATGTATAGTTAATTACTTTTTCCCCATTTTGTCCTTAATGGTAAATGTTCTAGAAAGTAAAAATATTGGCTACATAGCATAAAAATCTAAAACTAAAGAGTGTTAAATAACGGTATAGTAATCAAAAAGCATTTTTATTAATAAATTCTAAAAAAATGTGTAAAAGAGAAATACGGTAACTAAAATGAACTAAAGAAAACATAAGATAAACGGCAAAATAAAAACACATGTATTGATAATATAAAAATATTAATTGGATGTTTGTTGGAAGAAAAGAGCATGTGATGAAGTTCTATTAAGATAGTAGGTAATAGTGAAAATTAGTTTATTTTTATATAGATTAGATTTTATTTGGTTTGTGTTGATTTTAGAGTGAGATATTAACTCAACCAGATGTAGATGTATCTTGATGAGAAGAAAACAGCACCAAACGTGTAGAGCCTCACATGAGAATATAAAACTACTAAGTTAATGTAGCATTGTTAGGATTCAGTACAAATTAAGTTGATCTAAAACTAAAATAAATTAATGTAAGTTTAAAAGAACATTGATGTGAAACTAACTAAAGGCAGACATAGTACATAGTACATAGTACATAGTACATAGTACATACATGCCAATTCACGAATTCATATGAAGCGAAGCAGACAAAAAAAAAGTAGACATGACAGAGTAATAAGGGATAGCTAATACTCACTTCGTCCCAAATTATGTATACTATTTTTCACTTTTCGAAATTCAAATTACTTAAACTTTAACTAATATTTGAAAATATTTTTTTATTATATCTATCTATCTATATCTATACTATATTAAAAGCACGAAAGCCCTTAGCGAAATGTCGTTCGCCTTTTTTACCCTTAAAAATATATTTTTACACCGGACAAAATAGTAATTTAAGTTATCTTCCTAATATTTTGGACTTTAAAATCATTTAAAATATTAATTATTAAATCTTTCCTTATTAAAAACTCCTAATATTTTGGACTATTAATCCTACTCGCACAATGACACTGTCCAAAAGACACAGTTTGTTTCGACATCCAATTCTAATTCTTCTCTTGTATACGAGAGGTATGGAAACTAATTACTACTTTTCTCTTGATACGTTCATAACATCATATCTATTACAGCACATAGGTGTCTTCTTCTTTCTCTTTATTTTTGTTTTTGGCTTTTTTAACCACTTGCCATCTTATATTTTTTTATTACTTTGATGCTTGATTTTAATTAGTGTTCAATTTTTTGTTAGTGTTCTGCTTTACGTAACATCTTATTTTTCTTGTTTCAATTTCCCAACATCTCGCTAGGTCTGTTATGGATTCAGCTTGGAGAAGGTAAGCATAATCCGTATATCATTTAAAATGAGTTGCATTCTTCGATTTGTATAGATTTATCGATGTTGATTGGTTTTTATTTTCTATATGACTTTTTGGATATTCTCTGTGCTATTTAGGATAATGATTTACTTTAAAATCAGTTGCATTAGTTGTTGAGGACTAGGGCTGTTCAAAACCGAACCGTAACCGAAAACCGAACCGCAAAATTGGTTTAATGGCTTATTGGTATCGGGTTATCGGATTAATGGATGGTGAATGGATTGAAAATTTATAATTAATGGCTTATCGATTTGGGAACGGATTATTCAATTTTCTTAACGGTTAAGCCGTTAACCCGTTAAGAATTTTTATATTTATATTTTTACCAGAATATGTATATTAAATATCCCTTCCACTATTTGACAAAGTAGCAGTTATTATTCACATCAAAAGGTTCACTAAGACACTACCTGTTACTGTTTTATCACGGATACTAACTTAGTGGTATTAATATTGAAAATTCACTTTCAAATTATAGTGACTTCTGCCAGTTGTGAAAATGCACTTGCATATGCCTATATGGCTTGATGCAATAGCAGAAAGCAAAGAGCCCTACACTGCTACACAACACTAATTTAGTATATGGCTATATGTATTCTGGCCAGATCTTTTACGGAGAAAACATAAATTTCCAGTTAGTGACTTCTGGAAATGCGGGCATGACAGTGTTATATAAACGGATTGAATTCAAGATTTTAATTTGGTGATTTAATGTCAAGTCATATATGCGCTCATTGCTATTTGATTTCGTCGATAAGTCGCCCGATAACCGCCTGATAATGACGAAACCGATACCAATCCGCCCGATATCTTATTGATTTGGCTAGCGGATTAGTACATTTACAAGCCGATAACCGATAAGCGTAACAATCCGCCCGATAAGCAGCCCTGTTGAGGACCCTATGTTTTATAATAGAATCAGTAATTATCTTTCAAAATGTATATGCACCAACTTTGAGAATTATATTGAACTAATTTAACTAATTATTTATTAAACTTAGTTTTGTTGTTATATTTTCCTTGAACAATACATATTCAATTTTTATAAATACATCAAGTGCAACATAATTAGCCTAAAATATTTGTAACATTTAAACCAGTAAACATGTATCGACTGATTTAAATAAACATTTTTGGAATAGGTGGTGTGTGCGCATTATCATTTGTTACTAACATACATTTTTTAAAAATAATTATGTAATTTTTATAAAATTTATACCTGTTGAGACAAAGTAATCTATATGCTATATTAAAAGCACGAAATTAATTTGATGTAAATATTTGATGCGAATAAAAAAGATTTAATATAATGAAAAAGGGCTGGAATGTGTTTATCTCACAATATCAAATTCACATATCAAGACAATCTTGTAATAACAACTTTTTCCTTTAGTTTTTATTTTATAGTGCAAAAATATTTCTTACAATATTTATTTATGTGATTTTTAAAAAGTTTATATTTTTTAGTATGATATACACGCACAACGCGCGTACTCTAAAATTAATATTTGATACTATATTAAAAGTACGAAGCCCCTTAGTGAAATATTGTTCGCCGTTTTTACCCTTCATAAGTGCACTCTATAATGGGTAACATTGTAAATACACATATAATACTCTTTTGAAAAAAACAAAATTGTCGTACGATAAAAAGGAATATAATTAAGAAAAGAAGAAGAAGTAAACTCCTTCTTTAATTAGAATCCCTAATTTTACTCTAGCAAAGAGTGTAGAAACGGTCCCTTCATATCATAGCTTAGTGGGAAAGTCTAAATTTCCGTAGGTTAAAAAGGAACAAATTAGAACAATATATAATTAGAAAACTCATTATTTAATATCTTATTAAAGAGGTCAAAAATTCCATACATAAAAGGGAAAAAGGAATAAAACAATAAATAGGAAACTCATTATTTTATGTTTATTAAAGAAGTCAAATTTTCGTACATTAAAAAGGAAAAAGGAAAAATACAGCACATAGAAAATTCATTCTTTAATATGCCTACGAAAGAGTGTAAAACAAAATCCCTTAATATCCCAATTTTTTATTTTTCAGGACACTTTTTATTAATTTTCTGCTTGGTCAATGCTGGCAGACATAAATGAAGAAAGGTACAAATTAAAATAAAAAAAAAAGAGATTTTTAATTATTTATACTAATTTAAAACTTATTTACCTTCACTATTGAGGTTTTAAACAAGTGCATATACAAATTAAGAATCTTATATAAAATAATGTGTTATATTCTAATCTTCCATACTTTCTCTCCCTCTTTCACCCCAAAGCTAAAATTATAAATTAACAGATCAATATTTGGCCTCTTTCTCCTCAACTTCAGCCATACTTTAACTAGAACAAAGAAATTTGGCATCAAGCAATTCTATTATGTTTTCTCTTTTTTTTCTCTTTTTTTTTATGTTAAATAATATTATCACTTTTGAATGAGAGAAGATCGTTATTTCTTTTAGCTTTTTGGAATCAATAAACAAAATAGTATTAATCAGAAGCAAGTAGATTGAATTGGAAACTAAGTTAATCCATTAGAAAGCGCGGAAGCTTTGAATTCGAAAAACGAAATTTGCAAAATTACTTTTTGATTGAATTGAGTACTGTTACAAATGATTGGGAATATCCTTTGGAGTTTATATCTCAATTTTGAGAGAATTTGGTGAAGATTCGAGGTGGTTTTGTTTGAAATTTTATATTAAAACTAGAAAAAGAAGACATAAATAAATTATATATATTTTGTATGTCGAGTGTAGAAACGATATACAAAATATCTACAACTTACATGATTGTATATAAGTTGTATGTAAATTGTAGTTTTTAATACAAAAAATATTTATTTAATTTGTAGATAAATTATAGATTTTGACCGGATTTGTATATATTATGTAAAAAAAATTAGTTACTTTATATAAATATAAAAACTTAGACAAAAATCGGATAAATAAATTTAAAATCTCATATATATGCGAAAATGTCCCCCAACAAAATATAAATATATATGGGTAGCCTAAATCTAATAATTATAGACATGAATGATAAATATATGAATAAAGAAATTGACAAAAAAATTAGAAAGTAAAATATTAATTATTTAGTGTCACCTCTTTAGTATTACGCTCGTTAGCTGGGAAAAGTGTGCCCTTAAACCCTTGATGAGGATATTGAAGCGCTTGCTAAGCAAGACGAAGCGATCAATATGTTTTTGCTCCATGCTTAGGGCTTAAGCGTGGCTTTGACTACTCTATGCTCAACACCCCCATCAGTCTAATACGAGCCTATTTGACCAAATTCTAAACAAAAAAAAATGAGCTGGTTTATGCTGCTATAGTATTTCTTATGATTATTAAAGAAATAAAATCATTTATATTTTGCTTGCGAGAAAAACTTGTGAAATTATAGTAACGAAAGTATATATCTCGAATAAATTTTAAGTTAAAAA